TTTTCTTCATACCAGAGGGATTACTAATAACTTTGGGTCCGGCTGTACAAACCATTGGCCTCAGAGGGAGTAAGGTTTCAATTAATACTTTAACATTTGCCTGTGTTACTTGAAACGTGTTTTAGTAATCATATATTAATGTTTTGGATTAACTCCAATTACTTGCAATGTTTCACCGTAGCAGCATATGCCAGAACTTTCGTATGAAGAATTAGTTTTATAACCGGACTGAATTAATGGTAAATTTCGCTCGAATGGGTTTCATAATTAATGCTCGTGATATAAAGTGTTCTTGATTGTATCTTCGCGTGGTAACCCGATTAGTGAGGTAGCTGTACCAGTAATGCTAAATATGTTGCTGTAGTTTCCTATCTTTCTCTTGTGCAATCACCCGCGAAAAAAAAGACATCAAGTATGCGTAATACCTCCATTTCCTGACTGATCTGACATACCACTGTTTGTACTGCAATCTAAATAGCTCCATTGAATATAATACTAGTTTTTAATCATGTTATCTCTATTCAGCATTATCACCGGTCCGATAAGCGTCGCTGTAATGTGTCTAGTGTTGTTATATGTCATGAGAATCGATACTGAACGGAGACTTATTCAAGCGTAACACAATGTGAAAAATGAAAACGCAATACTATGATGATTTAAGAATGAATATAAAATGCATCATAACTCTGTAACGTGAGTTTTTAGTAATACATAGACTGACAGAAAGATTCCAAAATGCTACTGTTTTTTTTTTTTTTATATGAACAATGCTTTCATGGTTCTAAACAAGTGCTGTTAGTTTTGGCTTGATCAATATCCAAAATGGCCAACCAGTTAACTAGCTAAGACATTTATTTCTGCTTTTAAAGTTTATCTGATCAATGTAAACCAAACTTCATACAAATGTTCCTGTCATTGACTGTTTAAGATGTTGTTATTTTACTAATTAGAATTTAAAAGTCTAATAATATGAAATCATTATCCACAATTATAACATGTCAAACTGCTATCCGGTTATAAGACCGGGTGATAGTATCATACCTAGAGTACTTCCTGTTTACCCTATGTATGCCTACATCATTCGGACGTTTTGATATGAATTCTTGTAATATTATGTTTCAATTAAAAAAAAAAATCAACTCTGTATTAACTCAACAATAATTTGCTTTCAACCTTTATGTAAAAGTTCATAAGCATGATCATTTTTATATAAAATTGATCGTACGATCTTATTCTTTGGATCTAACCAAATGAAATGGATAATGTTTGGTACAGTGGCTTGTTTTTAAAGTTAGAAAAATATGGCAAAATACGAAATATATGAAAAGTAAGTGAAAGCTTTATCCTCATGATTAAATATCAAAGGACGAGAAGATGCTTTTTGATTGATTTAAATGCTATTACCATTACATTATGATCCATTCCCACACTTTTGATTGATTTAAATGCTTTTACCAGTAAATTATGATCCATTTCCACATTTTTGACTGATTTAAATGCTACAAATGTATTACCAGTATATTGATTTAAATGCTATTACCAGTACATTATGATCCATTTTCACACTTTTAATTGATTTAAATGCTATTACCAGTAAATTATGATCCATTTCCACATTTTTGACTGATTTAAATGCATATAACCAGTACATTATGATCCATTCCTACCCTTTTGATTGATTTAAATGCTATTACCAGTACATTATGATCCATTCCGACACTTTTAATTGATTTAAATGCTATTACCAGTAGATTATGACCCATTCCTACCCTTTTGATTGATTTAAATGCTATTACCATTACATTATGATCCATTCCCACATTTTTGATTGATTTAAATTCTATTACCAGTACATTATGACCCATTCCTACCCTTTTGATTGATTTAAATGCTATTACCATTACATTATGATCCATTCCCACACTTTTGACTGTTTTAAATGCTATAGCCAGTACATTATGATCCATTCCCACACTTTTGCTTTGGGTCAGTCGTCTATTTCATTGCAAAAGGGCGTCATAAATCATGATGTTTGACAGTCAAATCTTTGTCAAAAGTCATGATTGACATGTTTCAATTCAAGCATAAAAAGAAACACTAATCGTTTCATGTCCTCGATGAAAAAGTTTGGGTCGCCTGCCCGACCACTTTGGTTTTCTCCGGGTACTCAGGTTTCCTCCCACAACAAGACCATCCGCTTGCTAACATCCGGGCCAACAAGAGTGATTAATATATGTTGAAAAACTTGTTTCATAATTGTTATAAAATAAATAAAGTTTATATATATAATCGTATCAAATAATAAACATTAATCTAATACAATCACCGTTTTGCTTACGACATCACCAACATCTCAAGTGAACATCACACACTGCCAAAGAAATTTAAAATTCCTGCAAAAACGCCCGAAAATCTAGGATGTTAACATTATACCGCTATTAGAAATGTAAAAAATAGGTTATCTGTAATGTGGTGAACACATTGAAACCTTACAATATGGAGCCAGTAGAATGATAACCGAACCTTCCTATTTACACGAAACAGAAAATATTTATGATATTGCTGACATTACTTTGGAACAGAACAAGGAAAAAACAAAAGATATGCACGTTTTAATAGCATTTACCAAGGACATGCTCTATCCTATAAAACACCCCTACTGCGAAACCAATAGCTGATAACACAAATTAAGATCTTGAGCATCGGACATTACCAACGAGTAATATTCAACAGATTTCAAATCACGCGCACATCTTTCTCCCTCGGCACAGAAGATGCATAGAACAAACTTCCAAACAAGCTAACACTTAGTAAATACAACCCCCAGCTTCCTTCAGGCTACAACCTACCACTAAGTAAATACAACCCCCAGCTTCATTCAGGCTACAACCTACCACTAAGTAAATACAACCCCAGCCTCCTTCAGGCTACAACCTACCACTAAGTAAATACAACCCAAGCTTCCTTCAGGCTACAACCTACCACTAAGTAAATACAACCCCAGCTTCCTTCAGGCTGAGAAATAGAGCCAGGACTTCAAAGTATTACCTTCACATAGCGATTGTGTCCTCGGTGCGAGTAGGTAGCTCCATATAAGGCAGGTATTATGGTATTTTACAGCATCCAACTTAACTGTAAATGAAGTGTTTTGACAACTTTTTTGGCATCGCTGACGATTCAATGATGATATCTTTATATATACCTTCGTTGCTGAACTAAAGTTATAAAATCTATGTGAATGACGTGAGTTTGATTTGATTACTATTTTTCATTCCATTTCATTTGAAGAAGAGCTCATTAATCCCAATAAGATTTTTGATTTTAAAAACGTTAAATATAGTTATTACTTATTTCAAAATCATGATTGCTTTGTTCAGGTTTGATAAGGTAGATCTATACGAAGACAAATGTCCGCAGTATTAATTTGGTGAACGACTCCCCTACCTCGGCCTGGTTATCCTGCACTTCTTTTTACCGAAGAATAGAAACGATTTAATAATTATAGCAATTAACGTTAATAGCGGATTTATCAATACAACAGTCATCTGATATTTAACCGAACAAGCACAAAACGAATCATAAAAGAATGCTGTTTTGACTTTATTCAGAGTTTACAAAGTAAAAACGTTTGATATGAAAATCAGAAAGCACCGTATAAACACGTTTCATCTCCTCTTACTCAATCTTTCTTCTACTCCATCAAATCTTCTAATGCCTAATTGTCTATAGATATCAGCGTCTGTTCACACTAGGTCAGTATACACGCGTTCATTTTGGTTTTGTTTAGGAACACACTCCACACGATGGTTTGCTATTCTATACGTTAAGTGTGTTTTTCATCTACGCAGTGCATGCTTTAGAGGTAATTAATATCACAGCGGTGTTAACTTTATTTATATCGTATCTAGTGCATGTCTATGGTAACGAGCAAACGTCAGTCCGTGTACTTATAGATCATGGATATCAATTAATACTTAAAAGCAAAGGAAATTGGCACAAAATACCCACTATTGATCCGCATTTATATATATGTGTGTAATATGTGTTAGGGAAACAAAGTGCACTAACTTCGTTTCAGGTTCATTATGTTTACAACGAGTGATAGAACGATAAAAAATGTCCAAGCGTTGGACTCAGCATGAAATTATGAATCCGAACCCTCGTGTCCATTCAGCTAGGTAGACATTTGTAAAGCCGAATCATCGCCTCGGCACTCACTGGTACCCGATGTTCAATGACAAGACATGTTTGGCCGTGCTGTTGTCTACTACAAACACGATGTTGACGTACCTAACTGTCGTGTTGTTATGACCTATGGTACAAATTCAACGTCAATAACAAAATGGGTATCAGTGTATAATACCAATCCATGCTCTTGCCTTGACCAAAAATCTATCGCTAAAATCGCTGTGTTTGTAGAGATAAAATATTGTTTACATAGCAACAAATATTGGAAGCATGCATGCTCTAAAAAACAAATAGGAGAAATGTAGGGGGTAAAGACGACGGGAACTGTACTATTAGTCTATCAATGGACAGCTATATTAGCTAATCCAATCCATTTTGTGGTGTTCAGGCTACCGCTGCCAAAGAACGAATGTCTAGCTTCATCAGAGTCCGCTCTTTTATTCTCATAGATTCCATAATAACTTACAGATTACTTCAGGTTAACGATAAGCATTCTTTTTGTTTCCCGCAGTTCAAAAATTAGCCCAGGAGGTCAAATCTTAATGCGATGGGAACATTTATACAATATGACTTCAAACAAAGTTTCGTATGTCATTTAAAAGTATTTTTGAGATGAAAATCTTTGATATAATGGAAACTTTCTAATTGATCATCAATTTAATTTGATATTCATGACTTGATATTTAAACATGTAAATAAAACTCGATCAGTTCCTTACCTTTTATGCTTTCTTCATTGCATTGATAATATAGCGCTTTAAAGTGTATGTAAGCGATATTTTATAACTTTAACATCCGTTTCTGTATTTTCAGGATACGGCAACATCGTCCCTATGACGAGTATTGGAAAGATATTCGCCATCGTTTACGCCATTACCGGGATTCCCCTTGCAATGATAGTGTTGGCCGAGCTTGGCCGGAAGTTCACGATTGGCCTCAAACTTCTACTCGTGATTATCAGGAGATTTAACAGGCTTCGCGACTGTCGTAGAGTTCTACAGCGCAGGTTTTGTCCGAAGGAGAACTCCAAAGATGTGGAAGAAGGGGATGTAAAGAATGGACCGAAAGAAGAAACGGAAAAACAAGTAGTACAAACACCAGAGGAAAAGAAAGCGAAAGTAGACACCTTCGTACGGGTATCTCCGGATGGACAGCCCACAGTGGTCAACGGAAAAGACATCGATCAAAAGACTTTAGCAAGCAATAACACGGAGGACGCAGAAGAGGTTGAGGGCGACGAGGAGGCACCTGTGGAGGGTAAAAAACACGTGAATATTGTGTTCGGGGTGGAGATAGACGAAGAGTTTAACTTACCTCCTTCACTTGCTTTAGCAATTATGGTGATCTACCTTTTGATTGGATGTATGATGTATCCTGCCTGGGAAGACTGGTCATTTTTAGACTCATTCTACTTCGTGTTTATATCGATGTCGACCATCGGGTTTGGTGACATTCTGCCGGCTCATCCCAAGTTCTTTCTGATCAGCGGGATCTATCTCTTTATCGGTCTCTCACTCATCTCCATGTGTATCAATGTAGGTATCGAATTCTTCACAAAAACAATTAAGAGAGCAAAGAAGAGAATGAACAAGGCGAAAGATAAGATGGCGGAGATAAGCAAAGAGAAAATGTCAGAGGTTGGAAAACATATGGATAAGGCCAAGGACAAAATGTCGCAGGTGACGGATAAGGTCGCAGAGGTCACAGATAAAATGGCGGAGGAAGTTAAGAAAAATGTTGAAAATGTACAACGAGAAATGATAACTAAAACAGGAAGTAAGTCTGGTACTCCTGTTCCATCTCCCACTGAGGATGATAATAAAGGAAGTAAAGCGGGTACTCCTGTTCCTTCTCCCAGCGACGTAAAGAGAGAATGACACTTTTCGCTATAGCAATCTTACTGAAAGACATAACATCGTGTGACGTGTTATTGAATATATACAAACGTAGTACAACAACATAGAAATACAGAATGTCATACGTTATTGAATATATACAAACTTAGTACCGCAACATAGAAATACAGAATGTCATACGTTATTGAATATATACAAACTTAGTACCGCAACATAGAAATACAGAATGTCATACGTTATTGAATATATACAAACGTAGTACAACAACATAGAAATACAGAATATCATACGATATTGAATATATACAAACGAAGTACAGCAACATAGAAATACAGAATATCATACGATATTGAATACATACAAACGTAGTACAACAACATAGAAATACAGAATATCATACGATATTGAATATAAACAAACGTAGTACAGCAACACAGAAATACAGAATAGCATACGTTATTGAATATATACAAACGTAGCACAACAACATAGAAATACAGAATAGCATACGTTATTGAATATATACAAACGTAGCACAACAACATAGAAACACAGAATATCATACGTTATTGAATATATACAAACGTAGTACAGCAACATAGAAATAAAGAATGTCATACGTTATTGAATATATACAAACGTAGTACAACAACATAGAAATACAGAATGTCATACGTTTTTGAATATATACAAACGTAGTACAACAACATAGAAATACAGAATATCATACGTTATTGAATATATACAAACGTAGTACAACAACATAGAAATACAGAATGTCATACGTTATTGAATATATACAAACGTAGTACAACAACATAGAAATACAGAATGTCATACGTTATTGAATATATACAAACGTAATACAACACATAGAAATACAGAATGTCATACGATATTGAATATATACAAACGTAGTACAACAACAGAAATACAGAATGTCATACGTTATTGAATATATACAAACATAGTACAGAAACATAGAAATACAGAATGTCATACGTTATTGAATACATACAAACGTAGTACAACAACATAGAAATACAGAATGTCATACGTTATTGAATATAATTATACAAACGTAGTACAACAACATAGAAATACAGAATATCATATATTTGCATACATAGTACAACAAAATCAATGACGTGAAAAACAGAATATCATATATTTACACACATGGTACAACAGAAACAATGACGTTAAAAACAGAATATCATTTATTTACACAAATTGTACATCAAAACTAATAACATAAAACATGTAAAAATCATCTATTAACACACATTGTACTTCAAAACTAATAACGTAAAACATGGAAAATCATCTATAAACACACATTGTACATCAAAGCTAATAACGTAAAACATGGAAAATCATCTATAAACACACATTGTACATCAAAGCTAATAACGTAAAACATGGAAAATCATCTATAAACACACATTGTACATCAAAGCTAATAACGTAAAACATGGAAAATCATCTATAAACACACATTGTACATCAAAGCTAATAACGTAAAACATGGAAAATCATCTATTTACACACATTGTACATCTAAACTAATAACGTAAAACACGGAAAATCATCTATGAATAAACATTGTACTTCAAAACTAATACCGTAAAACATGGAAAATCATCTATTTACACACATTGTACATCTAAACTAATAACGTAAAACATGGAAAATCATCTATAAACACACATTGTACATCAAAGCTAATAACGTAAAACATGGAAAATCATCTATAAACACACATTGTACATCAAAGCTAATAACGTAAAACATGGAAAATCATCTATAAACACACAGTGTAATTCAAAACTAATAACGTAAAACATGGAAAATCATCTATAAACACACATTGTACATCAAAGCTAATAACGTAAAACATGGAAAATCATCTATTTACACACATTGTACATCTAAACTAATAACGTAAAACATGGAAAATCATCTATAAACACACATTGTACATCAAAACTAATAACGTAAAACATGGAAACTCATCTATTAACACACATTGTACATCAAAACTAATAACGTAAAACATGGAAAATCATCTATAAACACACATTGTACATCAAAGCTAATAACGTAAAACATGGAAAATCATCTATAAACACACATTGTACATCAAAGCTAATAACGTAAAACATGGAAAATCATCTATTTACACACATTGTACATCTAAACTAATAACGTAAAACACGGAAAATCATCTATGAATAAACATTGTACTTCAAAACTAATACCGTAAAACATGGAAAATCATCTATTTACACACATTGTACATCTAAACTAATAACGTAAAACATGGATAATCATCTATGAATAAACATTGTACTTCAAAACTAATACCGTAAAACATGGAAAATCATCTATTTACACACATTGTACATCTAAACTAATAACGTAAAACATGGATAATCATCTATGAATAAACATTGTACTTCAAAACTAATACCGTAAAACATGGAAAATCATCTATTTACACACATTGTACATCTAAACTAATAACGTAAAACATGGAAAATCATCTATAAACACACATTGTACATCAAAGCTAATAACGTAAAACATGGAAAATCATCTATAAACACACATTGTACATCAAAGCTAATAACGTAAAACATGGAAAATCATCTATAAACACACATTGTACATCAAAGCTAATAACGTAAAACATGGAAAATCATCTATTTACACACATTGTACATCTAAACTAATAACGTAAAACATGGAAAATCATCTATAAACACACAGTGTAATTCAAAACTAATAACGTAAAACATGGAAAATCATCTATTTACACACATTGTACATCTAAACTAATAACGTAAAACATGGAAAATCATCTATGAATAAACATTGTACTTCAAAACTAATAACGTAAAACATGGAAAATCATCTATTTACACACATTGTACTTCAAAACTAATAACGTAAAACATGGAAAATCATCTATTTACACACATTGTACATCAAAACTAATAACGTAAAACATGGAAAATCATCTATTAACACACATTGTACATCAAAACTAATAACGTCAAACATGGAAAACCATCTATTTACACACATTGTACATCAAAACTAATAACGTAAAACATGGAAAATCATCTATTTACACACATTGAACATCAAAACTAATAGCGTCAAACATGGAAAACCATCTATTTACACACAACTAATAACGTAAACCATGGAAAATCATCTTTTAACACACATTGTACTTAAAAACCAATGGCGTGAAAAACAGAATATACTCTATTAACACACATTGTGCTTCAAAACTAATAACCTAAAACATGGAAAATCATCTATTAACACACATTGTACTTCAAAACCAATGGCGTGAAAAACAGAATATAATCTATTAACACACATGAAAACAACAAAACCAGTAACCCTGTACACATTCTATACATTCTAGGTTGCGTCAAATTAATACACTTACTATATGTGAAATAGTATTATGGAGCGACACATTTTGTGTGGTAACCGATGCTCATAGGCTAGAAAGAGAATCCTGATGATGTGCTAATGACATCCAGGGTTGAATAACAGTCACACATTTCACAAGGTATAACTCCAGGAAATCTTAAAACAAACAGAAACAAGACCTGAAGCACGAAGTAAGTAACCAAGTGTGGACGAAGTTTATTTGATTCCATACAATTAAATGTGATATTTTATTCAATGTGTTCACCTCACGATATGTAACAGTGACATATCGTGTAAGGATACCGAGTAACGTGATGCTGTATACCATGTGATCACCTCACGATGTGGAACCAGTGACATATCGTGTAAGGATACCGAGTAACGTGATGCTGTATACCATGTGATCACCCCACGATGTGTAACAGTGACATATAGTGTAAGGATACCGAGTAACGTGATGCTGTATACCATGTGATCACCCCACGATGTGTAACAGTGACATATCGTGTAAGGATACCGGGTAACGTGATGCTGTATACCATGTGATCACCCCACGATGTGTAACAGTGACATATCGTGTAAGGATACCGAGTAACGTGATATTGTATACCATGTGATCACCCCACGATGTGTAACAATGCCATATCGTGTAAGGATACCGGGTAACGTGATGCGTGCTCGACTTTATCCTAGGGATCTATGAAAGAGAAACGCTAGGTTGATTGAGAAGTGATCGTTTTATATTATCGAACTATTGAATGTCTTGATTGTTGATTGGAGTATTTTCAATCCAGAACTGATAAGGGCTGGCTTATTTAGTCATTTACGACTTCATTGTTCAAATTTTCAAAAGTATGTTTCTTTTTCGAAATACTCTAAAGGTTAAATGGTTATTATTGTTTGTGCTTTTCTGAGATTTTCATTATGAATATAAATAGTTTTTTACTACACAAAGTATTTACAATCGAGTCAGATTCCCACTGTCTTATGGAGCTACGGTAGGAAGATTACATTTTCCTCTAACCAAGGTCCGTTTTTCTCCTCATTTGTTGATATTCAGTTTTTTACATTTCCTTCTCTCACTTTATATAATAATGTATATATCATTGTCATTTTGAAGCTGTGATTGACATGTTAGCGTGTGCTGTATGTGAGGCATCCTCGATATCCAGGGGTCACTTTCGCTCTCTTCAACCCTGGGATATGTCATAGCAAAATTAAAGGCACGAACATAGCTGTTTGATTGGTCTCAGGTAAAAAAAACCATGACCAATCACTAGGCTGATAATCTTAAAAGGAGAGACGCCCGACTTCAAAGCCTGTCAATGTGTGCCGTTATGTGACCGCGATATTCTTGTGATGTACATCAAAGGATCGAACTAGTCTTCTTATCTCATCAAGAAGGTGGCACACATGCACCGAGCCTTCAATTTTGCTATGACATATTCCAGGGGTGTGGAGAGGAAAGTGAGCGTAACCCCCGGATATCGAGGATGTGTGGAGAGGAAAGTGAGCGTAACCCCTGGATATCGAGGATGTGTGGAGAAGAAAGTGAGCGTAACCCCTGGATATCAAGGATGTGTGTGAGACAATGAGAGTGAAATGAATGTTTTTGCCAGGTTATAATGAACTTCATGACATATGTTTATTAATTGTTACGCCGATATAGTATTCCATTTAATTCCATTTTATGTTGGGGTCATTCCATTTTCGGTACTCGAAGGGTATGTACAGGAGATATGGTCATGATCAGTGGCTAAATTGACAGAGTGGTGTTAAAAGGGACATAACCCAAACAGTTCAATTACTTCTACGCATGTTCATTAGATTTCAAATATCATTACGGTAGATTTTTTAAATATAGACCACACGGTTACACCACCCTGTCCCTATTTTACGAACGATTTTATTTAACTTGTTCGGGTTCCTTATCTTTTTCCCATAGGAAAATATTACTTGAAAATAAGGATAGCCCCCTACTCAAAGAACATATGCCTGCTGTTACTGACTACATGTTGTAGGAGGCAACTAATGTGGGAGCTCACTGCAGAATTGAAGAAGAGTTACCATGACAAAACAGCGTTTTATTTCCTAGCGCCCCCTTGGGAATGCCTCACATTTGGCCTGGTTATTGGAAATTCGAAAAGTCTGGAAGGCAAGGGGCACATCCCCAGGCCTGGACATACCGGAGTCGTTCAAAATGGTAGTGGTTATTCTTTACTCAACGTACAGCATTTAGGACAAGCACAACAGCTGGTTTTCCTGCGTCAGTATAATGGGACCGAGAGGAATACTGTAAATGGTGCCTTCGGCATAGTATTTCAGTGAGGAAGTACTCAAAAATCGGCATCATATCTGTACTATCGCAAGGAGCCCCCCCCCCCCCCCCTCCCAACATACCACCTACCCACATACCCACATACATAGAGGCACGTCCTAGTCCTTAGCTGTGAATAGCACAGGGACCTGAGCATTTGTAACAGCTATATTTTGACCTAAAGTAAGGTGTTCAGAGTAATTTTACATGTTTTAGGATTGTTTTTGGAGGAAAGAGAGACGATGTCCGCAGAAGAAAATACATTTCACGTATTTTATATAGGAGTTAAAAAATAATCCCATCTCTCCAATGGTATATAGCATTGATTCATACTTCAACTAGAAATACTGTTGTTTTTGATGCAAGAAAGTTACGTGGAGACTTTTCGACATCGAGAGCTTTCCGCCCTTCTCGTATATATCATCATTGGGTGTCATTTTTACCGAAAGTCGATCAAAACCCCTAAAACATATAAAATTACTCTGAACACCTTAGTTTAGGTCCAAATGTAGCTGTAAAAAATTATCAGGTCCCCGTGGTTAATAGGACATTAAACAAAATAAAACCAAACCAAAACCTACTCTTAGATTTTACTTTACTCTAATATTATCTTCCTTTGGAATACAACTTAAGTTTAAGAGTTGCTCCAGGAATCTAGAGCCTGTTCATTTGTTGTTGATATTTTTTAAACATAGTTTATACCATGACATTAACTATAGAGTTCAGGTGTAAATGAGAGTCAATTGGACACGGATAACGAAACAAGCGTCTGATTGAGCCAGAGGTTGTATAAGATAGGTTATATCAACGCTTGTTTCATACCTGATAGCCTGAGGTACCTATAACGTGTAATGAGTATTTCCTCATCATAAATGTGCATTGATTGAGAAATTTCAGAATTTCTGAAAGACACTCGCTGTGGTTTCACAAAGCACTATCAATTTTCTGCAATTTAAATTTTCCCTTAGGGAAAGCATTGCTTTAATGAATTAATCTTTGGCTGACGAATTGTGATACCAGGACCAAGTACCCTACTCTACATTGGTCAACATTGTCGGGTTACTTCCGGTCTGAAGAATTGTGATACCAGGACCACGTACCCTACTCTACATTGTACAACATTTTCGGGTTACTTCCGGTCTGACGAATTGTGATCCCAGGACCAAGTACCCTACTCTACATTGTTCAACATTGTCGGGTTACTTCCGGTCTGACGTATTGTGATACAAGGACCAAGTACCCTACTCTACATTGGACAACATTGTCGGGTTACTTCCGGTCTGAAGAATTGTTATACCAGGACCAAGCACCCTACTCTACATTGTACACCATTGTCGGGTTACTTCCGGTCTGACGTATTGTGATACCAGGACCAAGTACCCTACTATACATTGGTCAACATTGTCGGGTTACTCCGGTCTGAAGAATTGTGATACCAGGACCAAGTACCCTGCTCTACATTGGTCAACATTGTCGGGTTACTCCGGTCTGAAGAATTGTGATACCAGGACCACGTACCCTACTCTACATTGTACAACATTATCGGGTTACTTCCGGTCTGACGAATTGGGATACCAGGACCAAGTACCCTACTCTACATAGTACAACATTGTCGGGTTACTTCCGGTCTGGCGGATTGTGATACCAGGACCAAGTACCCTACTATACATTGGTCAACATTGTCGGGTTACTTCCGGTCTGAAGAATTGTGATACCAGGACCAAGTAACCTATTCTACATTGGTCAACATTGTCGGGTTACTCCCGGTCTGACGAATTGTGATACCAGGACCAAGGACCCTACTCTACATTGTACAACATTGTCGGGTTACTTCCGGTCTGCCGAATTGTGATACCAGGACCAAGTACCCTACTCTAAATTGTACAACACTGTCGGGTTACTTCCGGTCTGACGAATTGTGATACCAGGACCAAGTAACCTACTCTACATTGTACAACATTGTCGGGTTACTTCCGGTCTGAGTCGTAAGTGTGATTTACAACAGATGCTATTTTAATTGTTTTCTATTTTGTGATAAGTATCTTATTCGCAGTCATTTTTTCCCCAATCGGTACTTGTTTCATATTAAAAAATAAATCTTCCACATATTTTTGTTTTGTGTTCATTTGATCTTTTTGTTATTTATATATATAATACAAAATGTGAATACTCTTTCGAAACTACTTCAATTGTTTCTCTCAATGTAATTTCAGCTCCTGAAAATTGCTTATAAAAGAACACAAATTGGTTATAGCTCTCCCATATTCTCGTCGACGCTGAATAGCTTATACATAACCTGAACAAGGCATTTTTTGTCAATAACTCTGTTGTGAAAGACGTCATTTTAAAATATTTTTACTGAAAGTGGTTCCAGGTCATTTCTTTCAGACGATATTGTGTCGTACTCGAATAGTGATTACCTTCTGACTAATGATCACCTGTACTTATCCTACTCCACTGCCTACACACATTTCATACCCGATTGACGAGTTTTTACGTATGCTCTTAAACGTTTAGCTTCACCGCGTCTTTAAATTCAAATTATCTCAACATTCATCTATTTTTTTCCCTTATTAGTATGCGTAACAGATACTTTCTTACAACATTATGACTCATTTGTTGTCAATGTAACGTTTTACATATCTGCAGCTTACGTGGTGTACAGGTATCCGAGGGGTGTATTTAGATTGCTCGTCTGCACTGGGGCGAATGTAACATTTAAAAAAGTAATACCTATCTACATCTCATAAAGATTGAATCTTTAAGCCATGCATGTTTTATAGAAATCCACTCAAGGCTAATATTAAGACCCATATCGCCCTAACGTAGGTGTACCTGTACGGCCACCTCTGTCGTCTACAAACCAGAAAGCTGTACATACCTGTCGATATTGTTAAAGCTCGGTATCAGCGTCACCGCGTAAAACGTGCCCCTCAATGTGTACTTCTATTACAAACTTTAAATAGAAAAAAACAGATCAAAGAATAACTTTGTTTATCCGTCTTGTGTAACTTGGACAAAGCAAAAACCCTGCTGTATGCAATATCACCCGAAACAAACAAGATTGTCATTGAAATAGTATAGGTTAGTTTTTTACAGGTAAGACGGGCTCGAAACGGCTGACTACATACATATTTTGTGCAACACGCAGGGCTTACGTGTACATAGGGTATTCCTAAACATGTGTGTCCCGCTATACGAAGTGGGTCGTGTGAATTGTTGTTTATCTATAGACACATGGAGAACCCGGAAGTACGAGTTAACAGTTGATGATTAACTTTACTGTAGCGAAAACACTCAATATCTACCGGACAATCCTCCGACTGGAACATTCTCTACTGCTGATAACATCCCGGTTGGAGGTTTATGTGGGGTTAAACGTCTGGTACAACGATTAAATACCAGCCCGTGTTGTGATTTACAGATATTGGAAGTTTTAATTGCTTTCCCGCCATTTTCTAGACAAGGACATCGATGGTAAATATTGTCATTGTTATTAGTATAGATATACGGATAATGTTTCATTAGAATTGTCCGCGACGATGTTATAAACGCTTATTGCATACAGACAGTGATCTAAGTGGTCTGAAGTTAATACTTACGTTGGTACTGGCATGTACTCGCAGTGAACTGTCAAAATATCTGGCGACATTACTATTTTTAAACTGTCTCCTGTCATGTCGGACTCGATCTGTCCAGTCCACGATGGACGTTCGTGCGTGATGGCGTGTATTTCCTGTACGTACATGTTCGTGTGTGACAGGTGTATTGAGGGTGACTCTCATCGGGGACACCAACTGCTCACATTCGACTCCGCATCCAAATGCGTTATGAAGAACTTGAGGCAGGAGCTGGACACAAATGCATTATTGCGCAGACATTTAGAATCTGATTTAGTTACGTATTCCTTGATAATTCAGAAAGAACGTGATTTATCCGAGTCGCGACTGCAGACTATCATTAGAAGACGGGAAAGCATAAAACGTCAAGTTGATTTGATGGCAGGAAACCTTCTTCAAATAAATACACAAAGATCTGCTGAAGTTTTGGATCAGATTGACGCTGAACAGAAGAACATTCAAGCTTCTCTTTTATCTGCAAGTGACTTTGATAGCGAGGTAACCAAGCTGTTGGCATGTGAAAACGCCACGGATATAATTGCACATGGACGATTTATTGATCGTCCTGATATTGTTCGAGGAACATTTCCTGTGATAGAGAGAACAACTCTGACAGAGGATTCAACGGAGGACGACATCAAACTGTTGTTTGGAAAGGAAGTAGTGGAGAATGTGAAATTGTCGTATCCCTCATTTTTCAATGAGGATGGTACATTTGTTCTGGAAGATCTGGAAGAGATATGTTTGTCAAATCAAGTTACACAGCCTGTGTCTAAGCATGAAAATATCTCGAAATGTTCTAAAGATGAAGACAACGAGAATGTTCATTTGGTTACCAACGAGAATCAAGACATTGTTTGTCCTGATTCGACAAAGAATGAAGAAGCAGATTATTTCTCTGTCACTTCAGAAAATTTGGAACATGCCCCAAATTTACCATTTTTGCCTTTTCTTGAGACTGAAATTTGTGATGATGCTGATGAAGCCGATGGTAACACTGTGACACAGTTACCCGACGGCAACCTTCCGTGTCAAAACATGAAGCACTTTGACAACTTCCTTCACTTCTCGGATGAATTTTCTCAATCTGAATCTACATGTGATGAGTCGATACCGTCAAGTGTGTCTACACTAGCATCCGATCTTGGTGACAATACGCAACATCGCTTGGACGAAAAGAAGTACGATATTCTACCAAATGAAGAAGAAGTTTTTATTCCTGCAGAAACGACAACAGAGGGTGAATTGTCTACATGTGTTCAAACGCCAATATCGTCTTCTTTAGAGAGCCTAACAGTATTCCTTAATGATCACCAAGAGGTCGCCGAACAAGGTAATCAAGATAGAAATACAAACGTGGATCAGGAAACTTTACCAAATACTGAACCGTCTTCGTCAACACCTGTTGAAGAGAACATGCTTTCTCCTATCGATATCGTAAGTGAAGAACAATTTAATTCCTATGATGAAGAAAGCGATACAGTATCGTTAGGAAAGGGCATTGAGAGAGGGGAAAGTTTCAAACAGAACTATTTTGATTCAGTAAATTTCAAAGAGTTCGATACAAATGTTAAAGAGACTGCAGATACCTTGCACTCATTCAAAAACTCCTCAAACGCCTCTGCTGATATCGACGTTGAGCCGGCGGTACTTCGTCCTAAACCGAAAACTCGTGAACTCTTTCCGAGCAAGGAATTCCCAATAATGGAAAGAAAAAGCAAAGAAATCCATGAAGGGAGAACCACGGACAAGCTGAATGGCAATAAGGCCAATAGCGATCTACCTAGTTGCCTGTTCGAGGAGAGGCCCGTCGTGTATCGTACTCCACAAAAACCAGTTGACCTACGCCGTACAAATCCCAATTTTCCACAATGTAGTACATTGCCTACGCTACGTAGACCCTCATTTCCACAACAGGATCCGTCCGCCAGGTTAAAACTCAAACAGACGTTCTCCATCGACTCGCCTGTGATTATTGCCTGTCCCATAACTGAAGAGCGGTGCTGGTTATCGTCCTTCAACAGAGAAAATGAAATCGTACTGGTAAATCGGAGAGGTCGGGTCAAGCGTACGATTCAGTTGGACACACTTGTCCTGGGGATGACAATGTTGGATAGCCAATTATTGGTATGCTGCCGTGACGAAATGTGCATCAAGCAAGTATTGCAAAACTTCCAGGTAAGGACCTTCTTCAGCACGGCACCTCTCTGTCCTTCCTACATCTGTAGCGGCTTCACCGACGAGATGTTTGTCACGCTAACAGACAAGACATCGTGGTCTATAGAACTAGGAAGTACATCCGTTGTCGTCAAGTACAGTGGCGCCACCTGCCAGGAGATGGCTCGTGCTCAGTTAGACAGGGACGGTGATGATCTGTTCTTTTTACCCTCCAGGATATGTTTGAATAAAGTGTGCAGGACGGTGGCTGTCATTAATTATACTTCACCGTCCATGAGTCATCTAGTGTTGCTGGATAGTCACATGACCTTAATTCTTAGGTACATAGATCACAACAAGGTCATTCTGGTAAATCAAAATTTGCCAAAAATCACGGAAAAGTTCTTTATCACGGACGTCAGATTCGACCCATTCGACAATATCATTATAGCGGAACATTATACGAAAGAGATCCAGCTGCTTGACAAGTCGTGTCAGTTACTAAGGGTGCTGGTCAGTGAACAGGCCACGCCCTGGTCACTGGCTCTGTACAGCAACGGTCACCTGTGGGTGGGTTTTGATAATGGAATGATAAATGTGTACAGTTCCAAGTTAAAATCTAAGCGGGTTGTGTCTTTTCAGCGATCATTTCAGTCCCCATGGTAAAGTTTTTTCGTGGTGTCATCACAACGATCAGAAGTGTACCCACAACTGTCTCCGTGGTGACGAATTTTCGTGGTTTCATAACACCGATCAGAAGTGTCTCGCTGGTGCAAGTGCTTGAGATTACAACAACTCATAGAGTCTCCACGGTGATAAGTGTGGGTGTTGTAAAACACCACAATCAAGACATTCTCCATGGCAATTAGTGTTGGTGGTGTCAACACTACAATCAGGTCAATCTCCATGGTGATTAGTGTTGGTGGTGTCAACACTACAATCAGGACCATCTCCATGGCGATTAGTGTTGGTGGTGTCAACACTACAACCAGGAGCATCTCCATGGTAATTAGTGTTGGTGGTGTCAACACGACAATCATGACCATCTCCATGGTGATTAGTGTTCGTGATCTCCTCACAATGACCATCTCCATGGTGATTAGTGTTGGTGGGGTCAACACTACAATCATGACCATCTCCATGGTAATTAGAGTTGGTGGTGTCAACACTACAATCAGGACGATCTCCATGGTAATTAGTGTTGGTGGTGTCAACACCACAATCAGGACCATCTCCATGGTAATTAGGGTTGGTGGTGTCAACACTACAATCAGGACCATTTCCATGGTAATTAGTGTTGGTGGTGTCAACACGACAATCATGACCATCTCCATGGTGATTAGTGTTCGTGATCTCCTCACAATGACCATCTCCATGGTGATTAGTGTTGGTGGAGTCAACACTACAATCAGGACCATCTCCATGGTGTTTAGTGTTTGTGGTGTCAACACTACAATCAGGACCATCACCATGGTAATTAGTGTTGGTGGTGTCAACACTCCAATCAGGACCATCTCCATGGTGTTTAGTGTTTGTGGTGTCAACACTACAATCAGGACCATCACCATGGTAATTAGTGTTGGTGGTGTCAACACGACAATCAGGACCATCTCCATGGTAATTAGTGTTGGTGGTTTCAACACTACAATCATGACCATCTCCATGGTGTTTAGTGTTGGTGGTGTCAACACTACAATCAGGACCATCTGCATGGTAATTAGTGTTGGTGGTGTCAACAATACAATCAGGACCATCTCCATGGTGATTAGGGTTGGTGGTGTCAACACTACAATCAGGACCATTTCCATGGTAATTAGTGTTGGTGGTGTCAACTCTACAATCAGGTCAATCTCCATGGTGATTAGTGTTGGTGGTGTCAACACGACAATCATGACCATCTCCATGGTGATTAGTGTTCGTGATCTCCTCACAATGACCATCTCCATGGTGATTAGTGTTGGTGGTGTCAACACGACAATCATGACCATCTCCATGGTAATTAGAGTTGGTGGTGTCAACACTACAATCAGGACGATCTCCATGGTAATTAGTGTTGGTGGTGTTAACACTACAATCAGGACCATCTCCATGGTAATTAGGGTTGGTGGTGTCAACACTACAATCAGGACCATCTGCATGGTAATTAGTGTTGGTGGTGTCAACACGACAATCAGGACCATCTCCATGGTAATTAGGGTTGGTGGTGGCAACACTACAATCAGGACCATCTCCATGGTGTTTAGTGTTTGTGGTGTCAACACTACAATCAGGACCATCACCATGGTAATTAGTGTTGGTGGTGTCAACTCTACAATCAGGACCATCTCCATGGTAATTAGGGTTGGTGGTGGCAACACTACAATCAGGACCATCTCCATGGTGTTTAGTGTTTGTGGTGTCAACACTACAATCAGGACCATCTGCATGGTAATTAGTGTTGGTGGTGTCAACACTACAATCATGACCATCTCCATGGTGATTAGTGTTCGTGATCTCCTCACAATATTATAATCTTGTGATGAAATCTCTATTATCATCTTCATTATAAACATGATATAATAGTACAATGTAGTATTGACTGGTACGAAGACTTGTTGTATTGACTAACAGTAAAACAGTTTTGTGTTGCCAAATAAAAAGTAATGTTTTTATTAAAAAAACAGGAATTCATGGTGATGTCGTGTTTTACTGACAGCAGGAAGTCGTATTGTGCTAACAAACAGGAAGTCGTGATTCGCTGAAAGTGAGCCTGGATATAAACAGGTGTCTGCGATGCCTCTTCGCGTACTTAATCACAAATATTGCCACCTGAAGTGGTGACATTATCGACCAGGGCGCTGCAATACTGTTTGTTGTAAATGGAGACATTTTGATGTTACTTTCCTACAATAATCCCTCAACGTTCACCGTGACGCAATAAGTAAAGGCGTTTTATATAGATATTTTATATAGATATTTTATTAATATAGATATTTTATGTAGATTTTATACATATGGATATTTTATATAGATGTTTTATATAGATATTTGACGATTTTTTATGTGGAGAAGCAAATTCTTATCATGAACGATACCATATCTTGGTATGTGCCGTAATTTTTGTGCTGTTGTGTCACTGACAAAAGGTTGTGTTGCCAAACACGAATCAACCATAATTATAACTCAATGTGAAGGGATATCCAGTGTGCTGGGGTTTGTACACCAAAGATAAAAACCGCATGTGTTCATAAACCAAGGTCATGATATCAATGTTAACTATGTTGTATTAACTCATAAAATGATACAAATCTACTTTTTTTGTTAAATTTATCACAAGAAAATTAAAAGTACGACAAGATGTGTGTCCATTAGGCTGCTTAGGGACCTTAAATCTCGAAATGTCTTTTATTCAATACTGTCTTACCTCACTTAAGTAAAATCAAATAAATCAAATAAATAGTGATATTGATCAGTGAACTGTTGGAATTCCTAAATGTCCTATACAAACTGTCATTATTTAGAAAGCAGTTTACAGAAATTAAAACTTTTAATCATTAAACAGTTTTAATCATTTGCTTTCTTTCGCTTATTTCTGATTATGGAATGAGGTGGGTGCAATTAATGTTTTGATTAAGAAGACTCGAGTTTTTACATTTTTATTAGCTTTCAAGGGTTCCTTTCGGGAAAGTAACAACATTTAAGATAACTTTGTTTTGATAAGTTAACCCCCGTAAACGCCAGACCCCCAACAACTTCACACGTTATCTACACATCATTTGAAAATCTGGAATACATCTACCTATCCTTTCGTTTGGTTGAATACATGTTCATAAACCATACCCGGATGTAACTAGCTTGCAAGGTCTTTGTACCACGAGACATGTCCTGTAGCTGGGGGTTTCATTTCTCTGTTACACTCATTGTTATATTTAAATACCATCTGAGAATTTAACACAGGAATACGTGCAGGTATGAATGTTTTAAAACTTTGAACAATTCGCATGAAACCAAAATCGGTGTAAATTTCACTTCCTCTTTGCAATATTTAGACCGTGTTGTCACGCATCCTGTTCAACACAATCTTATTAACGTAAAACGGATCTTAAAGTTATTATATATTATGTTACATCTCCTAAACATTTCATTTAATGCAATTTGTGCGGTGACTTATTCAATTTCTATTACATTGTATGTGTTTTATTTCATCCTTTGTGTCCACTACAATCATGCATCGTATTTTGTGGCCACAATGCAATGTAGATGCCAAAGGTATGCAGTGCGGCTACGACAGTGTTACATTATATAGGCTGGCCGCTACATGTTTACATAGCTAGGGGGGGGGGGGGGGGGGGGGGGATATTAGTCAAAATGGCAGGGGTCGGAATTCAGGGGAACAGAGAAGTGGATTTGATGACAGACAAATCAATTTTAAATGAAACGAGGCCTATTGACTTCTTAATTTTCCAGTTTTAAATAATGTTTTGACCGCCTCGCTCAATCAATTTTTCCTTAACAAAACAAGTTTAAAGTTGTTTCCCGGTTCCAAACAATAAAGGCAAGCTTACGTTTATTTATTTTTATTAGATATTTCTATTTATCGTTAGACGGAAGTTTTCATATCACTAAGGCCATCCGTACATAATTAGGAATGATACACCTGGAAGTATAACGACCTAATCAAACCTTTGTTATAGACATACATGCTGATATTACCGTGGCAAATAGATCGTTTTTCTCTCATTTCCCGGTGTGTAAGATAGAGCTGTCAGGGTAAGAAAGGGGTGTAGGAATATAAGACTCTTTCATGCTCAGGGGTGTAGGATAGGGAAATTCCACCCGAGGGTTTTTCAAATTTGGTAAAACCCGAGGGTGAGATTTCTCTATCCTACACCTTTGGGCATGAAAGAGTATTTTTCTCTCATTCGAACCACCAGAATACGCTCAGAAACCATGAAAATGCGTAAAGAAGAGTTTACAAATCTTTGTAACAGAATGTATATTTAATTTACCTTTAGGTTTGAATGGATATCAAAGAAATGTATTGTATAAAAAACACTTACCTCACTTCTGCTGAATATATGATAAGATTGACAGTAAAAACAAGTATGTTTTCTATAATCATCGTATTAATGATGGATTTCTTTTTAAAAAATTGTTCGGCTTTTAAAAATATATATATAAACTCCACTGCAAGTTATATAGGGATAAGTACTACTAATATAGGCCAAATATTATTAAAATTGATAAAATGATGACTTGTCATAAACGTACAAAACACTTAAAATCTTGTTAATTTTAAAATGAATATTCAGTAATATTTTTTCTCCTTAATTGTTCTTTTTAACTGTTATTCGTATCACAAAACTCTTATATGTTTATTGTATGTACTCGAAAAAAGTCAATTTCTATGCATGTAATAAGTAGAGAGAAAATAAATAATTTGAGCCAACCTTGGACAGAATAAACAATGAAAAAACGCACAAACATCTTTTTCTCATTTTTAATTTGTTATTTACAGACTGTTGATATTAAGAAAGCAGAGTAAAACGTAAGCGGACTGTTTCTAATCATTTTCGTCAGGTTGGTAATTATGTATTGTAGAAAGGTTATGTATCACCGCCAGTAAGAATGACATTTCGATGACTAGTACGGTATGTACTCTGTCACCTTCATCAGATAAATGACCAGTGAAGCGTAAGTACACACAGGTGTAAACTATGTACGAGTTGACAATAATTAACCTGCAATCGTACGCTTCACTGACGAAGGTGACAGGGTACATAGCGCTCTAGTCATCGAAACGTCACACATATCACTTACGTTAACTTGTGTGTTACAGTAGAAATCTAATCCCAACAGTACATACGGTAAATGCGTTATTAATGTCTATGATTTGGTCAGCCATTAGTTTGTTGGCAGTATACTCAGGTATAACATCCCAATATCAAGGCACAAAATGTTAAAGCTTGAATTTTCATCATCTCGAGTCACACCTACAAATATATCATTATATTTATTGGAACATATGCTTTCATAACCCCTTCAATGTTTTATTTAAGACATGGGTCTTTTAAAATAATCTGGATTGCCTTTTTTGTCCTATCGGATAGAACTCAGCACATCCGAAACCACAAAGTTTTACTGTTGACTGTGTTTCAATTTAGCATTTATAATGAACAGAAAGTTTATCATTATATAAAATACCTTATAAGTGAAGAAGGTGACCAGTGACCTTTTTTGAAATTATTATATAAAATTGTTTTAAATATTACCTATACCATGGCATATTTGACCGTAATGTTATGAAGAAGTACATTTTCTCTTTCCCACTATATCCCACAACAAACAAATACAATGTGCATTGTACGAGCTTTTATCTGTTTATGTGAGAATTGAACGTGAGAAATCTTTATCTTTTTATAATATATTCTATAATGTATCTTACATGATATTTGAATTAATAAAACAATACAGGATCGACATTATTTCTGAATGTTAAACTGGCTTGCCATTAGCGGACCTATAAACTACTATGTTTGTTGGCGGATATCAGCTGACCCTCAATTTGACTGGGAGTTACTGCCCTTATCGCGTACTATTCTTCTGCCTGTGATCACAAAATAGAAAAACTTAGCAGAGTGATATACCGAATATTGGTTTGATTTTGCAGTTTGAGAAAATATACTAACTAATAGGATACAAATTCCTCTTGTCTTTGTATTTAGCGTCTTTTAAGATGTCTAGTTTTAGACTTTTATAGTATTATGTGCTTTTTGATGAAACTAAAATGAACTGTCAAAGTTTTTCATATGATTGTCCTTCTACGAACGCGCGCACATATTCTAAAGACACTTTTTATCAAAACTGGGATGATCTTGTCAAAAATATAAATTTCTCTTAAATATTAACTCCAAAAATGTAATGTTTTTTTTTGTGTTTTTTTTTTAATTGATGGGAACTAACAGCTTCTTCCTATAATCCTATTCAAAAAACTTTACGAAGAAAAAGTAATTCAGTATAACTGTAAATTTTACCGCGATGAGCTTTGATTTAACGAACCCTCGTATATTACAGTTTTAGTTCGGATAAAAGTTTATAGCATGAAATTCGATCCAATTTTATTTTGAAAAACACACTGACTTAGGTTAAAAATGGAAACCTATACCATTTAGTCATCATATAAGGACACCCCAAAAATAAAACAAATCATGACACTCTCAATTTATAGTCATTACAGGTAGTCTACACGGGTATACCCTAACTTTAAGTACAAACCTTGTTACTCAGATAGGTGTGACGTGTGTCTATAAGGGAAGCGGTATACCATACCTTTAAGTACATACCTTGATACTAGGATAGGTGTGCTGTGTGTCTACAAAGGAAGGGTATCCCATAACTTTAAGTACAAACCTTGATACTAGGATAAGTGTGCTGTGTGTCTACACAGGAAGGGGTATACCATAACTTTAAGTCCATACCTTGATACTAAGATAGGTGTGCTGAGGGTCTACAAAGGAAGGGTATACCATACC